GGCCCCCAGATGGAGGGAGCAGCAGCCACAGTCTTCTGGGCAGGTTGCTTTCTGGCAAACAGGCAGGGTGACAGGGGTGGACTACGCAGAGCAGGAGAGTACCTGGCATCTGCAGCCATCTGGGCTTTGCAGAAATGCTTGATGAGCTGCACCTGAGTTTCCTTCTTGGGTTCATAGTAGGACAGAAAATGCATTGCTTCCTTGAGGCACCGCAGGTAGCCACTGTTAAAGTCCTGCTCGAGGTTCTTGTGAGTGAATGCTAGAAAAGAAAGAAAAGCAAATGTAGTGGATTAAGATCATGACCAAAACATGGGACAGTGGTGATTCGTGCATTAAGTTTCTTTCAAGAGCCTGAGTGCATGAGCCTTGCTCATGCGGCCAGACCTGGTGTGTTATGGCCCCTGGGCTGAACAGGAGGGCAAAGGCCTGCGGGAATCAACTTTAGGTGGCACGCAACGCGTGCCTGCACTCACTCGGGTTCTGCAGCTGGCTCTGCTGCTTCAGGTAGCTGACAGCCACTTCTAGGATGTCGGCTTTCTCTAGCTTGGAGTTGGGCTGATGCCTCTGAAACTCCTTCTCCAGGAGCAGTTTCAGCTGCTCGATGCTGCTGTTAATCCGGTCGCGGCGCATTTTCTCCACCACCGGCTTCCTCAGCTGTAAGAGAGGTGGAGCAGATCGTTAAGGATTTTCTGAGACCTCACCTAATTTCTCTTCCTGATGCCCTGATACACGTGTGTTCAAAGATGCTTTCTTTTGGTAGGAGAGCTTTGCCATGCTGACTACCTGTTCCCCACTCGATTTAATTTTTAAAAATCCAGATAGTCTCCTTTATCTCTCTTTAACCTATCTGCCTTCCCCCAGACCACTTTCTCCCTCCTTATCTTTTCCCAAGTAGTATTTAATTGATAGCAGCAGCCCATAGAGCGCAGACCAGCCTTTCCAATCCCATCGAGGGCTCTACTTACTTTATTCTTTTCTTTTGGCAGCAGTTTCTCCTCCATGTGGATCATGATGGTGTTACTGGGAGCCATTCTGAGTGCTCTCAGTCCTGGGCACAGACCCCCACGTCGGGCTGCTGTGCTGAGCGTCAGACTGGGCTTTTGCAGTCGCCCCACTGCCTCTATTTATATGCCGGAGGGGTTCGGCGGATACGTGAGCCTGGGGATCGCTGGCGTTTCCCACAGCCCCTCGGCCAATCCAGGCACGCAGCTGAACAATAGAGGGAGCATCATTAGCGCATGGTAGATTGATCGCAAATGCCCTGGAGAGAATAACCTTCTGCCCACGCTGGCTGGTGGTGTGTGCAGCGCGGCTCCTCAGGGCTGCCCGGGGATCTGGGAAAACCCTGACCCTCCAGCTGGTCGCCTGGGAGCAATTGCATTCCTGAGCCCCGGCATGTGCCAGTCGCATTTCTGGCGTGGAGGAGGCGTGCTTTTGGGGGAAGGTGGGAAAAGAAGAAGGGGAGCACTGTTAGGGTCAAAATCAACAGCACCTAGGGCATCTCTCCGCTCTTTCTAGAGAGGGCACTCTACAGCCGGCCCCCCAGGTGCCGTATGCCAGCGTGTTGGGTGTATTTGCGCTTGTCCATACAGTCATTGCGCTTTTAACGGGTGAGCCAAAGTGTTACTAGCGTGAAACGACAGGTTTGTTTGCATGACATTTCTAAATGCTGTGGAGAATCTAGAGTCAGGATGGTGGGATGTTGGATGGACAGGGTGAATAAATAGGGAATGGGAAGCAAATGGAGATGGTAGCCACTGTTTCTCCTTTCACACATGGAGGTCTGTCAGCCTGTTGCACCAGTGTTCCCATCGCCTTCGTTAAGGACGGCCACACGCCTCCGAGCAGAACTGCGCCCATGCCTCGTTGACCCTGTAGCTCTTTCTTTTCCCTTTTCTGCTCTCTCTGTCACACAATTTACAGGATGGTTAAGATGGGCTAAAGAATAGCATCAGATTCAACCCAGAAGCCCTAGGCCTGGGGAAGTCAGAGGCAGGTCATGCATGGGATTTCGTAGCTGAGGCCCATCTTAGGACCTCAGGGAGGTCAGTTTTGCTTCTGGCCTGAGGTTTATGGTGCACTCTGTTCTCTGACCGAGGAGCATCACGCTGCCCCACTGCAGACCGGACCTGCCGCGATTTGCAGAACGTGAGACCCCAGAGGCCACATAATTGCCCCCCTGAGTAACCTGCAGCATGTCATCCCCACTCCATTTTCTTATCTGGAAAATAGGGATTGTGCTGCTTGCTTGTATTTGCATGAAAATTTCAATGGAAGTTAAGCAAACATTATTTCTTTTGTGGTAAAGGCAAGAAAAAGAATGGAGTTGTGTGGTCACTTCAGGTCAATTTGATTTTGTCTATTGAGAAGAATCTCTGCCCAGATACAGTCTTTGAGGCAGCACTGAAAATAACCCAGAACCTACCTGAGAAAAGCTCCTGCCATCCGAGGGCCCAGCCTGTAGCGCCCGAGGCAGAGGCGTGCTCATCTTCTCCTGGTGCACGGCCGGTGCACGGGAGCGCAGCTGAGCATCTGGAAATGGAAACAGTGGCGGGAGGTGTGCAGTGAGGTAAGAAAGCCAAATTTCTTACTTGGAAATCCTGGAGTGAAGCCTGAGTTTAACGGGCAGTTGACGGGAAGGAGGGAGGTGTCACCGAAAGAGCCAGCTTCGTGCTTTTCATTGTCTGGGCCTGAATGGGCTTAGCTCTTTGTGAAGGGCAGATGTTGTCCTTGGAGCCCTTTATTCCCTGTGTTGTGGGAAAGCCAGGAGACAAGACATCTCATGGACACTTTGAAGCAGTCAAAGGATTATGGTACAGAATAAGATACGGCTCAGAGACCATGCCCTAGCTTTTGCCAGCTGTAATAAGGTGTTGCCCTTTTTCCTGTGCTCTTTGGCTGGCCTTCCTCCAAAAGTTGGTGTCCTGACTTATCCCTTTCCTAGCGAGGGAGCAATAGCAGCAGGCCTTGGAGCTAGGAGCTGACAGGTAGGCTTGTACCAAGCTGGTTGAAGAGACTCTTCAGTGTCAAAACCAATCTTTCTCCCAACTCCTGAGAAGCAGCCCTGACCTTTATTGCTGTATTATAACTGATGGCCAGATGGTCTTTTGGGAGTTGGATTCTTTCCCTTTAAATCATTCAGGCTCAAGCACCATCACTAATGTCGTGAGTAGTTGCATGGCACACTTCTATTGTCCCAACAAGAAATGTTATCAATGGGGGAAAAGTATGGGAAACGCAGAGAAATTCAAACCCACGCAGCCTGGTGCTAATAACTCCTTTGTGGAGCCTGCGCTTCTGTCAAGGCACGATGAACTCGCATGGCTTTTTCACCAAGCAAGGCTGAAAAGCACTGGTTGCACCAGGCAGAGCAGGGGTTTCTCAGGGATCTGTGTTTACCAGGAGAAGGAGGCAACACGGGGCAAGGGGGCAGAGGTGCTGGTTCACATGGCTGGAGGAATAGCGAGCTCGGACGCAGCACTGGCTGTCCCCAGGGGGCCGCTGGTTTGCTTCACCATGCCTCCAGCTGCTCTTCTGGGAAACAGGAGCGGTGCTGTTAGCTCTTTCACAGAGCCCTCTTGGAACCAGGAGCTGAGCCAGTGTCTGTGGTGGGAGGTAGGGACAGGGATGAAGTGGCCCTTGTGCTTTCCTGGCACCACTTGGGGATATTGCTTGACCACCTGCGAGAACCAAGTGGAGAAGGAGCATCTCTGGGGACAGTGCTCCTCTGCAGTGGAAGAGCTGAGGGCAGCCTCTTCTCACTGTCTTGTGGAGGAGTGTCTTGTCTCCCCAGATGCTGGGACCCTGGCAGAGATACTTCTTTTGTGGGCCACCCCTTTGTCACCACGGCTGCCTGGAAAGCAGAGCCTTGCAGGGTCTGTCCTGAATGAGATCTGATCCCCAGTGGGCTTTTGTCTCTTCGTCAGGCCAGCCCATGGGTTTCGTTGCTGGAAAGGCTTATTGACACAGGTAAAATGGAAGGCTTTTTAGGACCAAGCTAGGCCTGATCTCATTTTCACAGGGAATGTGCAGTGTGACTGAGGAAGGCAGTGGCAATGACAATACCTACCAGCGTCCCAAGTAGAGCTGGCAGGACACATCTGTGCGGAAACCATTATCTTTGAATGCTTGATGGAATTACTGGGTCTGTATGCTGTGCCACACTCGCACCTCGCTATTGCTGGGCGGATGTGTCCTAATGTTTAAGATTTCCTGGATTTTAGCACCGCAAATCCCTGCAGTATTGCCACATCCCTTCATCATCCTCATACTCTCATGACTCGCTCCATGGAGGTTTCCTGGATAAGGTTTGAAAAGACAGGGTACTGTCTAATTGAGGTGAACCCTAATGATCATTTGACAGATTTTAACTTAGGAGCCACTGCTTACTTTGGTGTCACAGACGGAGATCGCTTCCCCAGGTGCACCTAACCCTGCCCACCGTGTTCTGCTTGGGGCGTTTCAGTGATAACAACATTCTACACAGTAAATGGTTTAAAAAATGGTTTGGCACGGGAGGTAATATGTAAAGAAATGATCCTGCCAAACTTGCTATTCAGGATTGGCGGCTTCTGCTCTCACAAGCCGAGCATAATTCCGAACCAACAGCGTGGAAGTGTAGTGAAATCTGTCTCTTTCAGGGGAAAAGGTTATGTTTTTATTAGACCTATTGTATAAAATATTCCATTAAATGTCATTAGCATGGCATTATCTTGCCTCCTTTAGACATTAGAACCCTGGCAAAAAGGGGTCTTTTATTACTGTAAAGTACATTCTTCACAGGTTTAACCTTTTTAAATTAGTTTTTCTTTAGATCCAGAATGCTTAATATACTGCCATTCCCAGGTGCATAAGTGAAGGCAAATGGACTTTGATCATTAGGAAACATATGAGACAATTTGATCTGCGTTTTCAGGGTTATTGGAGGCAAAAGCAATTTCTATCGCTGCTTGTGTGGGTGACCCTGAAATAGTCATGCACCAATGACATAGTCTTTCTACAGTGAGTATTCCAAATAATTAAAAATTAGGAAGAATTTATTATTTTTCTGCCCAGCTGAAATTCCCACAAGTCACCTTTCAGCATATTCAAGAGTGCACAAGAGGGATTTATTATTTCCTGGTATATTGACTCTGAAAGGTCTGGGGATTACAGCTGCTTTGCACATGAATAGCTGGAGTGTGTTGTACAAAAGGCATGGTCTGTGGGATAATGGGGTTGGATGTGGGAAAGCGCTGACCCTGGGGGAGAGCAGGCTGGTGCCTGATGGCAGGAATCAATTATGTCTCAAAGGAACACATTGCCCTGGGAGCAGGCTTTGCGGGAGCCACCATGTTATGTGTTTACCACCCTCCTCCTTCAAAAACCCAGATAAAACAACCACAGAATATATCCTATCCTTCTGCTTTTACCAGGGCACTTGGCTACACCTTGCTCTGTAGTGACGCCTGTCAGTGCTAAGTTTGTGATGATCTCGGTAACGTAACTGTTCCCATCTCGGCAGCAGGGCTGCGACCCAGCAGATCTCTCACACGTGCTACCAGGTGGTTTTGAGTTTTGTGCTAAAGAACCCCAGGTGCTGCTGACTTCAGTGGGAGCACACGCTCCCCAAAAGTCCTCTGGAATAGGCAGACCCCATCAGTCAGGTGCCCGCTCGGCGCCGGCCGAGGGAGGACAGCCTGTCACCAGCAATGAAGCAGGGGCAGCAAACGCTGACGCTGCCGAGCTCATGCACGTCCTTCGTTGTCTTGGGTGGGGTTTTTTGGAAGTCGGTGGTGTTCAGTTCTTGCCATGGGCTCAGCATCCCTGAGGACCTGGCATTACTGCCAACCTTTCAGATGTCAAAAATTTGGGCTTCAAGAAACAGGCTGAAAGTCATAGGGATTTAACAGAAATATTCCAACGTTTCTAATAACAATAGAAGTATTTTGATGGATTTTTTTCTTTTCTTTTTTTACTTCTCTTTTGAGCATACTGAGCATTTGGACTTTGTTTGGATTGCTATAATTAATTTTCTCTCTTCATAGAATCGTGAGGCTTGGACCTGAAGTCTTACTAAAGGCCATAAGTATTATGAGTCTCATGACAAAAATCACAGGACTTAGCAAATAGTGCTGCCAAGCGTTTTGGCAAGGAGAAGGTATCCTGCAGAGAGAATATTTCAGAAGAGCAGGTTGAGAATTGGGAGTGTGGTTTGGGAGGTCTGGCCCCAGCAAACACTTGCTGTCATTGACAGGACAGGAATGGTGTGTTCGTGCCAGACAGCAGGGCGGTCACCTCTCCCCTTCTAAGAGCAGCAATTAATCCTATCTGCATGTGTCAGGTATTTAATCACTCAGCTCAGGCTAGGGCAGTGGTGGAGAGGGGAGATAACAGCCACAGGCTTCCCTGGTGTCCCCTGAGCCTCGTTTGATTGTTCCCTACCTTGGGAACGAGTTTGTAACCTGAAGCTGATCCTCCCATCTGGCCCAGTGAATTTCTCCCCTTCCCTTCAGCTCAGCCTGAGTTTTGGGATGTAAGCTCCTACCGCAATCCACTTCTCATGCTTGGTGGCTGCCAGTCACCACACCGCGGAGTGCAATGGATGTGTGTCCAGTGACGGTGTCATGGGGCTCAGTGTCAGGTCCTGCCCTGCCAGGCAGGTGGATATGGAGGTCTGAGGAACGTCTTAGCCATCTTCAGCTGGCAGTAGGATGAAGAGATCATGTCTGATCAAAGCAGGCACCTGCCTTGCAGGCAAGAACAGTTTTTCAAAAGCTAGATTAACCTAGTTCTGAGCCAGGCAAAGGACTAGCAGAGGGGCACGTGCAAGAAGTGGCAGACCTTGGTCCTCACGGGGCATACAAGGCAGAGTTGGGTGCCCTCACCACCATGCCACAGGGCAAGGCATGCCGTCGGATGTCAGGATCAGGGGAATCTAGTGCAAAAAACAGAGCCACACTCTAAAGAAAATAGTCTAGAGAGGGTTAAGAATAGGACCAGGACCACTGGAACATCTCCAGTGTAGCTGGAAGCAAAACCCGTGCCCTACAATCATCTGCAGCACTAGGTACGGGGAATCTGGCGTGAAGTCGCCAGGAGCTGCCATCAGGAGGCCGCGCAGACATCTTTTGTGTACGACCAATGATCAGCACACACCGTAGCTGCAGATTCCTTATAAATTCCCCTATATAGATTTCCTTATATCTGCAGATTCCGAATTCCCTTATAAACTCAGGGATCTCATGTAATTTGGGGCACACTGCATCCTCTCCTCCGAGGAGCTCCAAGCCCAGAATCACCATAACCACTGGGAGGCAGCTGATCGAAATTAGATGGTGCTGACAGACAGATCCGCACAAGGACTACAGACAGCTGCAACTTAAGACAGAGGTTTTGATAGGTCTTCAGAAGCATGAAGAAACAAATTAAAACTTAGTTTACTTTCTAGAGAGATGGAGTTAATTTCTGCTGAATAGATCATTACGTATTTGAGCAAGGATTTGAGTGCATCTTCCTTTTCAGCCATTTCACGGGCTGGAACAAATTGTACTAAATAACATTTTCAAAACCCACGCCTGAACCTGAGCACAAAGGAGAACTTTTGCACCCACTTGTCTAGGTGGTGCATGGCTGCAAGTGTGGTCCAGGCCGGTAATCCAAATTCTCCCACAAGCTAGGGAGTTGGCTCCTTTTCAGAGATTGCAAAGCCCCAATTAAAACAAAAGTGGGTGCTGAGCATCTTTGCAAACCAGATGTCTCAAATAGCCACTTGGCAATAGAAGCACTGCAGCCAGCAGGCTATTGGAAATATTGAAATTTTGGTTTTCTCCTGTCTGCCTCATTTTTCTTCCTTTGTAAAACATTGCTAATAATGCATCCTTATCTCACAGAGGAGAATTCATTAGCTGGCATTTGTAAAGCACTTTGGAAATGCAAAGCCAGTGCATTATTCCTAGTCTTCTGGATGCTTTCCATGTTATTAAAATCAGGATTTCAGAAGGGCTTATCGGGGATCAAAACAGCATCCCAAACTTGAAAGGAAGCAAGACTGTTAAACCATCAACTGTCGCCTCCCCCTCCAGCCAGATGTTAAGCCCTAAAGAACTGAAGTGGCACAAGGAATTACTTTCCCAAGTTCCCCCAGCTGGGCTGACAGGCCTTGATCAATGGTTTTCTCCACAGTGAGTGCTATGCAGATGGTCTACCCAGAGCAAGGTTTCTGTGAAGTACAAAGGGAAGTCAAACACCATTTCTAATTCAGCTTGTAGCATGGCACACTTCCTTTATCCTCTGCCTGAATGCAGTGAATAGGAGAGCAGTGTGGGAAACTGGAAGGGGCTCCAAACTCACACAGTCTGCGGGGCTGTACGACACTCCTGTCCTCAAGCCACATCTGCCTGTGACAGACAGAGGGGGAAAAGAGTGACAGAACGAAAAATCAGATTATAAAAACTTCATGACAGGAAAATAAACCCCAAGTAAAAGGAAAAAAAAGTGAAGGAAGCTGCGCACAGAAATTGTGCCAGACTCAAACCGGGGCCTGCCAAGCAGCAGAGCGCAGGAGGGCTGGGAGGCAAGGACAGGGAAAGGAGCTGCAGGAGCAGAATCTTGCTGGCCCACCAGTAAGGCCAAAGAAAATTGTCTCACTGAAAGTGGCAGAGGTGGTTTCAGCCCACACTAAGGCTTCTGAGCCACGTAGTCTGCTTGCCACTTTAATTCCCCAGCTTTTTTTAATATGTCCCAGGAAACCCAGACCCTTGATACTAGTCAAGCTGCTCATAAGCTTATGCAAACTGTTGCAAACGGATACAGAAGCTCCTCCAATCCTTAATTGCTCTGGCATGTTAATCTGGATTGCTGTTTGCTGTAATTTAAATATGGGGTTTAACACATGACCAGTTTCCTCCTGCCAGCATGGAGATCTTCTGCTGTAGGCGAGGCATTGCCTCACTTCAGCTTTGCCCAGAATAACGTGGGTTTTTTTTCCTAGGACGTCCGTGGAATCACTGGCAGATACCAAGAGACTCTGCTACCAGGTACCACCTGACAGTCAGACTGCCCACACCCCAGGTTGCTCAGCACCTCTGTCTTGCTATTCTTTTCATCAAAGGCTGGCCTGCCCAAATATGACGGCAACCATTGCAGCACATCACCCGTAATGGTACAGCAGGGCACCGATGCCCTAGCTCCACGTCTCAGCTGGTGTCCTTGAGCAAACCTGGAAATACCAAGCTTTGAAACGCCAATGGTGCAGGTCCCACTCAGGCAGCCATCACGGCAGCTTTGCAGTTGGGTTTTTGCACCTCTTTGCTGCACAGTGCTAAGGGAAGAAGATGACTCCTGTGACCACGAGGATATCGTGATACTTTTGTGTGACCCAGATAGAGCTATAGGAGCTGGGCTTGGCTTTTAAGAAAATTAGATCCGATTTTATACCAGCAATACTATGGGGAACCTTTTCTCTTCATTAATACCTCTAAACTATTTTGTGTTGCTTGGATGAAAGGAATGGGAAACAACAGACAAGTTTCTGGTATTGGTATCTGGCAGGTGAAAATTCAGGCTCAAATTTTGCTGACTAGGATTTTGATATATTCCACTGCAGGTGTAGAGGTAATTTGTATTTACACCCATTAACTGGTGATCAGGAAACAGCTCTGGAGGTACAAAAGCTGCAGGCCAAATCGAGCAGTCTGCTTCACCCTTCATGGAGTCCAGAGTTTGTACTGACTTCAGTGAGGACCCAAGTAAGGCCCTTAGGATTGGACCCATTTTATTTTTCACCTCGGGATGGTCTGTAGGACTCAGCACTAATTGAGTCTCCTACATTTTGCTGTCTTTCCCGTTCTCTGTTCGGGAGCATTGCTCCGTCCCTGCTCCCATGCGTTTTAGCTTTCTGAATGACTTACTAACATAAGGCCATGGAAGTTTGTGTACCTCTCGGTTTCCCACACCATTTCTTAACTACATTCATTCCTGCCACAAAGGAAGTGTGCCTGACTACAAACCACATTAGCAATGGTGCTTGCCTCTGCATTGTGTTCAGTGGGAAACCCTGCTCCCCAAAGGCCATCTGGGCAGCACGCATCAGGAGAGAAGCAATGGGAGCAATGAGCATCTCTTGAGGCTTGGGAAAGCAGCAGCATCTTTAAGTCTTCCTAAAGAGCTAACATCTGGCAGAGATTCTGGGGGAAGGCTAATGCTGTATTTCAAACATGTTATCCAGAGTCTTGGCATCCTAATGAGTTTTCTATGCAATACTGTGTATGTTTGGAGCCCTTGCAGAAGGTGTGTAATTCAGAATTCCTTATTCTTAGTGTAAAGTCCACTGACTCTGCTAACTTTAGAATAGGGAGGAATTTTTTGTTACCACTTTCCTTTAGGATTTCCAACAAAAGCAGAAGCAGAGCATCTCTTTTGGGTAATTGAGCATCTAATTTGAGTTACTCTGCCAAGATGGTCAGTAATTTACTATTTTTTCCTCTCACAGACTGTGAAACCAAAGAGAAAATAAAAAGCTATTTTATATATAAGTTTTTATTTTAGATGCTTTAGAATTCATGTGTGACACTGAGTGAGGAAATAGAAATCTCAGTGGATTTACAATCTGGGGGAGATTTTGCTACATTCACCTCACAATAATATGCTGAATATTGTCATTTTTATTACCGCACGTGTTCTAAACATGTGGGGCCTCCAGCCTCTATAATTAAGTGAATTTCTCAAGGCCACAGAAGGTTATTTAGCATTCAGCCCACTCAGTAGCAGGCTTTAGGTCAGTTTGGATCCTAATGGAGAAGAAATTTTGAGCGCTGCCCCCTTGATTGTGCCCAGTGCACAACCTCTACCGCAGTGCAGTCAGGCCAAGACTGGCTCTTACTCCTTTCCATTTGGCTTCAGACTGGCCAAGTGTTGAGCAGCAGAGCTGTTCTGGAATCCCTGCTGGGAAAGCTGGTGCTGTCTTTGCTGGACTATGCTTTTTTTGTAAGGGACCTGAACTCACCTTGCTCTGAAACCAAGTCAGCGGCTGAGTTAAAGGCAGGAAGGCTGAAGGCTTGGGTTACAGCCACAGTGCCTAACCATGTAATTACTCAGCAGCAGGAGAAAAAAAAAAAAGGTGCATCACATCCCAAGTGCGCACAGTAAACAGACATGGAACAGGACTTGATGCTTGGGATCCTGTAAAAAGTCAGGTAGGCATTTTTATCTCATACAATTTATTCCTTCAGGAGGGTGTATGGAAGTTACGTTCTTGGAGCAAGAAAAGAGATCGAGGTTTTCATTCTAACTTGAGCCAAACGGTGTAGTAGTGAATTAAGCAAAATTTCTACCATGGCCAAGGAGAGCAAGGTGGCTCAGGCTAGCATGACTGCTCCCGTGGAGTTAACTTTGTAATCCCCTGGGTGCTGAGTGGAAAAACAAAAGGTCCATGTGTAAAATCCCGCTGTAGAGATCCCAGGTGGAATCAGCAGTGGCAGACGTGAGTGGCAAAGCATTCAGCCTGGCCTGGCTCGGCTGAGGGGCTGCAGCCAGCTCTTTCCTCCCTCCCTCCCATCTTCAGAACCATCCCAGAAACAGGCAGACCAAGTCACTCAAGTCACACATGTGCTCTGCTACAGTTTTGTCATGGAAACTTAATTTGTCCTCCCCCAAAATGAAAGTCCTATGGTGCAGGAATGTGATGATGCACAGATTGCTGAGAAGCAGCCTTAGTTTCTTGTGTACTGTGGGTAATTGCAGGGCAGGCACCTGACGCTTTAAACAGCTTTGTTGGACTAAAACTGGAGTGCCTGTTTATGCGACTTGTGCTGGAAGGGGAAATTATTGCTGTTCCTACGGCTGCTTATTAGTGAGTTGATCTGGAAAACAGAAACTGTCTCCAGCAAAGCTGCTAGTGGACCCTGCTGATCATGGGGTTGGCACATTTCTTCTTCACGCACTTAATTAACGAGCTCAAGAAATGAGTGACTACTCAGGAGTTTCTGTTTCAGGGAATCTCCCCAAGAGGGATGCACAGAGCGAAAGATTGGTTTCAGAGGTGGCATTACATGGGCTCAAAGATAATCCACAAGCTTTGAGGAGAACATGTGAAATGGTGCCACAAAAGCTTTCCCACAACTTGACATAAAAGACTCAGAGCTCAACAGCTGCTGCTCCGTACGAAAAGAAGGAAGCCTATTCAAGAGCAGTACAATAGGGAGGGAAAGGCAGAGCCTGGAAGAGGTCATTTAAGCCTTACCTGGTCTTACAGATAATGAGTTGCGGAATGGGAGAGAGATGTGTCTGTGTGTATGTGTAGTCACATTAAAAGACATGTGTGACCACACACATATATGTTAATATATACGTGAGCACACATACACATATATTAATGTAAACAAAACCAGTATTTACTTACTCCCCTTTTTTTTTTCGGTAAGAGAGCCCCAGGCATAAACCCTAGCGTTACTTGACAGTAATTTATCTGATTATTATTATTCCTGTATTGAATCTTATAGAGGGAGATCCTGACGGTCACAGAGAAAGGTGTTGAACTGATCCAGTCTCCCAGCACATTTGGAGTAAATCGGGGACCGGTTCTAGATGTGTGGTTAATGTTGCCGCCTGCCCGCTTCGGCCTTCTCGTGGTGTAACGGGGCAACGTTGCCGACAGCCTTGCTCTGCACAGGCCAGGGAGCATGTACGGAGGATTCAGAAAACGTTCTGCTGCCTTTTCCTTCTTCCGCTGCTCGTGTGAGGTTGGAGCTCATAAGGGACAGCAGCACTCGCATGGGCAGATAAATGCAGGCAGGTCTGGTTCGGGTCTTCCTACATGAAACTCTGGCTCTGTGTTTATAGCATACAAGTAGCAAGACCGTTAACTCTTCCAGTTGCAGGCATCTACTGAGCAAAGACTGTGCACCTCAGTGTAGAAACTGCCCCGGTGGAGAATGAGGGATCAGGAATTCGGTTTCTAATAATTTTATGGGCTATGTGAATTTCTTCTGCACTCAGTTTTCCTTTGTGCATAGATTAAATGAAAATAACTAGAGTAAGACACATGTTGGGGAGGAAGTAAGAAAGCAGCATGTGAGTCTAAATTGATCCCCAAACACTCCAAGATCCTTCTCCTTGCGGATTTCTCTTGCAGGTATTTGAAAACAGAAACTTAAAGTGCTTGTGACATGGCTTGAGAGTGTTCTGAGGAGGTGTGTAAGGTGCCAAGGGAAGAGAACAAAGATCAAAACAGAAACTGTTTTCAATAACTGTGTGTACTTACAGTTAAGTGTATTTATTTGCAGTAAGCCAAACTGGAAAAGCTGTTTTCTGTTTCACATGGGAAAACTGGTGCCACAGCCACGTGAGGGAGAACAACTGGCTCTGGCTTACTGAGAAAACAAGGTGAGGGGATTTAAAGAAACTCTGCTCTTTAACTCAGAAAGCCAGAACATGCTCGTATGTGCATGCTGAAGCGTGTGCCTGCGTGCGTCCCCGGAGAGGAATGCAGCCCCACGCCGTGGTCTGCCCGCAGCAGTTTATTTCCCGCCACGGGCAGCTGACCTCCTCCTTCCTCCACGCATGTGAACCCAGGGCCGCGTCTGGAATGCTATTGATCTGCGGCATTAGTCAGCAGCCTCTTCCCATTGAAGGCCAGCTCTTTCCCAGCTTCTGACACGTAATTCTGATCCCAGCCTTTCACGCACCACACACTCCCCACCTGCTCATCTGGGAGAAGGTCATTATCCCCGGGCTATTCACTGGCAATGGAGCATGCAAGAATGGCTGCTTCTCTTATTGTGCTGCCTGTCTCCCCGATTGGCTGTGGAGTGTGGGAAACTCCGCCGCGCCAGAGACCCACAGCCTCTCAGAGAGGTTGCACGGTATAAATATCGGGCAGAGCAGCTTCCAGCAACACGCTTCCCCTGGACTTCCACTCGGAGACCTTCCTTCCTTTCTCAGGACAGATGGCTCCCAGCACTGTTTTCATGGAGCCCGACAACCTGCTGACACCAAAGGAGAAAAACAAAGTAAGTTTAGGAACAGTGTCAGGCAGCAGGCTACACAGAGATGGGAAGGGAAAAGCCTCACCGCTAACTGTTCTCTTCCCTTTTTGTGTTACAGCTCAGGAAACCCATTGTAGAAAAGCTGCGCCGTGACCGGATTAACAGCAGCATCGAGCAGCTGAAACTGCTCCTGGAGAAGGAGTTTCAGAGACACCAGCCCAACTCCAAGCTGGAGAAAGCCGACATCCTGGAGATGACCGTCAGCTACCTGAAGCAGCAGAGCCAGCTGCAGATGAAGAGTGAGTATGGAATTTTGTTTCAGTCTTTAGCTTACTGCGAATCCGTGACAGTTTTATGTATCTCTAGCCACGAACAATTGCTCTAAACTATTCTTTTGTCCCCCTCCCTCTTCTCTTCCTGTCTCTAGCTGCAGGATCCTTCCATAAAAGCTCTCAGTTTGACTTCAGAGAGGGCTATTCTAGGTGTTTGCAAGAAGCTTTCCATTTCCTCTCTCTTCATAAAGTCCGAACTGAAACGCAGACCAAACTTTTAAGCCACTTCCAGAAGAGCCCATCGGCTGCTACGGAGGTCGCCTTTTCCCCTGGGAACCCCAGCACCCTGAAGCAAGCATCTCCGAAAGATGCCAGTACTCTCTGGAGGCCCTGGTAGTCAGGGGCATCCTTCCGTGGCGGACCTTTGCCTTTTACAGTCCCGAGGAAGGACCTGACTGCATCTGATAGTCCAGCTCCGATCCTCTCTTCTGTAGGGAATTTTATTTCCCTGTGTATTTTATTTATGTGTGAAAAGAATGGCGTACTTTTGACTTTCATGGGATCCTTTGGCAAAAGTTTGGGTATTCTGTTGAGCGGTGTTGAAGCTGCGTAGGCGCTGGCGGTAACAGCACGCAGCACGCTGCCCCGTCAGGGGGCGAATGTCTCCAAAATGAAGGAGGGTATTTTCGTAAATGTTACAGTTGTGACGGACAAGAGTTGCTGTAGGAGAGATTTCTCTCGGCTTTGCTCTGGCTTGACTAGCGACGCTTGTTTGCTCAGTCACTCCAGAGGATAAATTTATTACCCCTTGGTTCATGCACGCTTGATTAAAATCGGTTTCCCTCTGTTTGCTTATAACTTGTACGGCATCAAAGACGGTTTTTGTTTTGCTTGGGATTTTTCCCCAGTGACCCTTCCATAGTCCTAGTACACAAGGTGTGAAGGATGAACAGAAGCTAGGAAACTATGTGGAATATTTCTACTGTTTTGCTGCTTTTTTCAATTTAGAAAAAGAGTACGTTACTGCTTTATGTTAAAGACAAGGTAGTAGGCAAAAGGCTTCACTGGTCAATGTTATACATTTTGGGTGTAAGGTATGCTTTTTCTTGCATTTTCATTATAATAATGATTTTTGTCTGTATGGAGTGGTTTAATTCATGGTGGATAGTGTTTCTCCCACTACTGGGACAGCCCTAGGGCTTACATGCATACTGTGTATGCGTCTCTGTGTTTGTAGCGAGCAATAAAATGCATTTGTGTGCAACTTCTGTCTGGGTCCTCTCCCTCTGAGGGATACACAGCCACTTGTGCCCCTAAAAAAGACTAATAGGTTGCCTTCCAAAGAAGCGGGATTTTTTGTAAAGCGCAAGGAGCTCACATTCTCGTCGACTGTATATATTCTCACGACTCCCATCACGTGAGTCCCTTGTACCCTGAACCCCAAGAAGTATGCAAGTGCTACTGTCACACAGGTTCTCTCAGCTGAATCATATCGAGCATTTCCTCAGCCACTGCCCCTCCTGTCCACACAAAACCTGGGTAATAAAGCTTTAAAGCTGGCCCTCTGGTCTCCCCATAGGCAGCAGCTGGAATGTGGCTCCTCCTTTCATGTGATTTTTTTCACCTGATGCTGAGAGGAAACAGACTGAGGGGCTGCAGTGCTGTGTATCCTCTGATGCTTTCCCAAAATTTCTTCTCCAAGAGCTCAGCAGGGCAAACAAGCCGTCCTGCAAAGCCTGGGGAGCGAGCTGTACGGCAGTTCTCCTGGCTGCAGGATGCAGCAGTGGTGGTAGAGCTGTGGAGGTCCTGCGGCTGTGTCCAGGTGAGTGCTACCTAGGTAGGGACACAAAACCCGGGCATGACCTCTTCTTGCTGCTGTGCCTGCCTGAAGTAGGGCTCCTCGAGCATCCCTCTCCAGAGCTTGTGGGAAGTGAGCCTCAGCCAGCACCAATTTATACCCCTAGGATGTGTCTCCGGGCCAGGGAAGTTACCTGCAGCTCAGTGTAAATTCCCTTCTTACAATAACAAGCTAATTGTGATAATAAACTAAGTTTGTGCAGGCACAAACTTAGGTGAAAAACATTATCTTTGGATAGGAGAAATATGATAGCTTTGTGATTTACCTACAAAGTTACGGAATGTTTTGGATAGAAATACCTAATGCAGCTACGTCAGCGGGAAATCACATGTTGCTTGCTTACATGTGCTTCATTTGTCTTTGGTTATGACAAGGAATGCTTTGTTCCGCCGTGTTTTATCACTGATTTGCCATATGTATGCTTCTCACTGCAGGAGGGAATGCCGTGTCTCTGGTAGGAGGTACCATTAAGCGACAGAGTCCCTGTACGCCCTTTCACTCTGGAGCTCTTGGCAGTAACTTTGTAAAGCGATAGACGCTGGGGGTTTGAGACGTTCCTATAACGTAAGTGGTAGCAGTAATGATGTTGTTATTGGTATCCAGCAAGTGAATTGGCTTGCCATACACAGAACCTGCTAATTAACCTTCTATAATTATGTAAAACGATTCTCAGAGTAGTTAGAACACTAAGAAGTCCTTACTGCAAAGCATTATTTACATATATACAATTTTTTTTAATATTGCAGTATGAATACAATTTCATGAAGCTAAAGCCCTTGCAAAGTTTATAAACGAAGTTTAAACTTTTTTGTATATTATTTTTAGCCACCAGGGGTCACAGTTACTGTAAAAACACTTTCCCCTTGGATGGTTAAAGCAGAATTTTTGGTTTTTTTCAAGTGTATGCTTTGTGCGATTTTGTTTGCTTCATTTTGATGCTCAGGTATCAGGTGTCAGGCAGTGCTGGAGACTTCATAAAATCTTTTCCACCTCCCAGTTTCTGTGTGTGACATTGCCATTGATTGTATGTGGAGAGAGGAGTGGGGTAACTTGAGGAAGCATAAAAGCAATGTAGAGAGTTTAGTTCTTCCAGTAATACTGGAGTAGAGTTCTTCTAAACTTCAGTTGTCTAACCTGATGCATAAGCTACTTAACCTATTGCTTCTCTCACCAGTATCTGAACTACATTTGTAAGGATGATTTCAGCAATTCCTTGATGCTGTAAAGCTTGGGACTCTGCAGGTCTGTTGCTTCTGTTTACACGTAAAGGTTTTGCCCACACAAAATGTTACTCAGCGTTTTCGTACCAGAGTCCTTTTAAAAAGGCACCACTGATGTGCTACTGACAGCTGCTTGTGTATTCTTTTATTGATGCTTCCTAAAAGTGGAGCTTTAGAAATAAGCAAAGGTAGAAGGAACAAAGAGTTGTCCCTGTCCAATGCCTTCAATATCACTTAAACTGGAGTAATTTCATTTCACTATATGTACTAGGGGATCTTACTTTTAATTCTGGCCACGTTTTCCAAGTGGCTTCTATGGGTAGAATTTAACATTGTGTTAATGGAAGCTCAGTGTTCTGCACAGCACCTTTGTAGCTGGTGGGTGATGGTTTGAAAGAGGAATGTGCAGTCTTCATGTGCTGGTCGCTACTCTCAAAGGGCAGAGAAGCTGCACGCACCTGGTTTGCCTCAGAACCCTAATGCAGGCGGCTTGTTCCTTCTTAAAGCAGTTAAGGTCTTCAGCAAAATCATCAGCCCCAGGCATCAGCTATCTGAATGCAAATCTGGGCGTGTAACTGTGTGACAGTGATAGAACTGATTTCCATTCTCCAGCCAGAAAAAAACCCCACAGGTCACCAGCCTCCATACAGAGAGATCCCCGAGTCGTAGAAATCATACAGCACGCTTCAGGTAGAGAGCACCCTGGGAATGTTCTGTAGGTGCTGTCCCAAAGCAACCACGATCATCCCACGTCCTTTAGGGTTAGGTGGACACTGAACTGAGGCAGATCCAGGATTCCTGACCTGGAATTACAGCTTTGGACTGGAGCCAGCCAGAAGGTTCAGACAGGTATTCTGAAATGGTGGTGGGGACATGGGGAAAAATCCCCACTTGGTCCACAGTTGGGGAGATGAGTCAGGAATGACCTGATTACAGGAATTCTGCTGAGCTAAATACGCACTTCCCAGTCAGCCATGAGCTGCACCTTAAGGAGGATGACCCCTCGGTTTTCCCAGCTGCAGTTAGATCACAGTGGTAGACAGCACTACTGATTTCTTGCCTAAAAAGAACTCTTTTATTATTTTATTGTGCTGTATTGGGGCTGAACGCTGGCCAAAGCCTGAGAGGTTTCTAACAGCAAAAATCCCATTGCAAATAATACCAATAAATTTTGACTTGTGGAACCCATTCCAGGGCAAGGCGAGTCAAGCTGGGACCTTCCTGTAACACAAGCAGCCGCTGTCCTTTCTCAGAGAAGCATGATCTGCTGTGTCAGGTGAAACCTGGAGCAGTAGAACAGGAGTGGTGATGTGTAGGAAACAGAGGCAGTTGCCGTACTGTGAAGTCAGTTCATGTCGAGAGACCACCTGCGATCACTTCACAGCGGAGAAAAGTAAGTAACTCTGTCCCCCAGCCACCAATGCTAGAAACCCCCAAACTCTGTCATTATGAAAAAAGAAGTCTGATGTTTGTATTTCACAACTGTACTTCCCTACTTTTCATGTCTAAAGGAGCTTTCACTTCCTTTCAGCTTGTTTTGTCCATCCCAAATAGCTGTAAAAGTTACCATAAGTATCCAAAAATCAAAGGAAAAGTTGGGCAAACTGCATGCAGGGTGCCCTGTCATCACAAGCCAGGGACAGGGTTGATAACACGGCTGCAGTGTCACTTGTGCTTCGTGTCCCAGACCCTCGGTCACATAAGCTCTGTGCACTGAGCTCGTGCCAGAGCCGGCCATCCCCAACATCTCCAAAGTCAGCGCTGGCGTTACCTCTGACTCGCTGCGTGGGCTTTGGGAAGCCATCCCACCTCGCAGTCGCTGTTAGCCAGCATACACACGCTGATGCAGGAAAGCACCATCGCTACCACCCCGCAATGCCTCCTGCTTACTGCAGCTGCCGTAACTTTTGCAGCCACAGAGAGAAGTAGGCTGGGGAAGGGGGGATTGAGACTAATGCCACAGACAACCCTTCCACCTGCTTGTCAGAATTAATTCCAGCCTCAGCCACTTCCCCATTGCCACTTGCTTCATGTGTACTTGTGGTGTGGTGGGACTGGTGGAATGGGACTGAAAGGAGACAGAGCTCTTCTAGCAGCACTGCAGGTTGGTGCCAGTTGAACTGGCCTCCTGGTGTGCTTGCCCTGAAAAATTTGGGTGTCAGTAGAATTATGAAATGCTAAGTTTGATGCCTCTTAAGCTCAGTGCTTTTGCTATGCAGGCAGGTAACCGACTTTTAACAGACGTGGACTGAAAATACGATCCCTGATGCATTCTAGTCGGGCCGTTTTTAGCTGGCAGACATCCTGGCAGAGGAGTGGATGCACAGCTCCCTTGTCTCGCAAGTCTGCTTGCCTGCTCCGTGAGAGGTTCATTGCAGTTCTGAACTCATCAAAGGCCTTGAGAAAAAGCTCATCTCTTCACACTCTTCTTGTTTCTTGCAGCAGGACACAGCACGCTGCCTACTCATTTCAGAAACTATAGTAAAGTAGCGTGGCTTTTTTTTCTTCAAAAAGAGATGGGGAAACCTGCATTTGTTTAAACTGTTTCCCTGTAGTATTTGAGGAACAGTGACTCACTTCAACATGTTCAATGCTCGTGACAACAGCTGTTTTTTAATACTGTCTGGGCTTTTGGTAATCCAAACATCTGCTGGGAGGTTGACGCTGGCTAGTAGCCAGAACCCAGCTCGCCAGTGGTGCAAAATACGCAAGAGGTGCAGAAACGACTTGAACCCGTTGTAACAGCAGACTTAGGCATTTTGCTTTTAGGTCCAATAATTTATCAGGCATCTGCAACGTTCTTTTTCAGTAGTTGTTCGTTCCCCAGTTGATGGTATGTGCGTTTGTGAACGTGTATTCACAAGCAGCGACGCAAAGGCGCATACGATGGAGGCCGGGTTTTGAGATGTTTCCTTACTTTGGGGCCCAGCTCGCCCCTGCCAAAGCCTCCGCTGGCGAAACCACCTGGGAGAGGCGAACGGCGGG